CGCGGCGGGGCCTGGGCAGTGCGCAGCTCCCTACGGTGAGGGGGAGAGCTGCCATGGTGGGTGGGCCTCGGCCCCGCGTGTGCCTCCCGGCGCCTCGGAGCCCCCCTGCGAGCAGCCCTTCTGCCTGCAGGGTGGGTCAGGGGAGGTTCAGGTTGGGCATCAGGAAAAATATCTCTACTGAAAGTGTGGTCAGGCATTGGAACAGGCTGCCCAGGGAGGTGGTGGAGTCGCCATCCCTGGAGGGGTTCAAAACACATGTAGATGTGGCACTTCGGGCCATGGCTTAGCAGGCAGGGTGGTGTTGGGGTGACGGTTGGACTTCATGGTCTTAGAGGTCTTTTCCAACCTTAATGGCTCTATGATTCACTTTACATGTTGCAGTTTTAAACTTACATCGAGGTATCTGCACAACCTCCATCTTTGCCACTGGTACTGCGCTTCCCACCCAGCCCCAGCACTCGTTGCCGGAATTCACATGGGGCACGAAGTAGCTGCCTCGCCATGAACGGAGATCTCTGCCCGGCCCTTGTCTCCCCCTCCCTGTACAAAAAGGTGTTTTATATGTAGACACCTACATGCAGATGAACAAGGATTTTGCCTCTTCTATTCTCACATTTCCTTGCCTGAAAATCCCTACGAGCATGTGTGAGGCATTCCTATACCAGTAAATCAGTTAAAACCAGTTAAAATGGAAACAGCTGAAGGCAGATAAACCCAAAACGCAGAAATACTTGTGAGAGTTCCTGTTTAGCAACCAAAATAAACTTCATGATCTGCAATTAAACTAATACAAAAAACTGCTATAACAGTAATGCTGTGAACATTTATGTCCAACGAAATGTATGCTAGCGGGGTTTCTGCGGAGTCTTAAGTCACACATACCAGGTAAATTTTTTCACCTGAGAAACAAGAAGAAAATCGGTCACAATCGTGTACAAGAGTAAACTTTTGAAATTTTTTTGAGAAAAATAATTATTAAAAGGTTTTGCAAGGTACCAAAGGTCAAAAAGACACTGGAGTTTCTCTGAGCTCGGCATACTGTACTTCGTACAGTTCTTGCTTTTGACTTGAAGGCTATTACTCAGGATTTCAGACTAAATGTTTCCAGGGGAGCTGTAAAGAGCTTAATAACCTTACCTGTATTCATGTAGGATTCTTTTTCCACGGATCATTATTTACACATAGCAAATTTAGGCATTGCTGAAGAGATGAGTTCATCTGTAAGAAAAAAAATCTTTAAGAAAAGCTGTTATGCAAAATCAGTTTCTTTTAGCAGGTATATTTATATTGCAAGCTGGTCCTGTTTTCAAAAGAATAAATGAGATTTTGTGATCCAATGCCATTTCAGAATATGCCATATTCTGGAAATATAGGCCATATTCTGAAAAGCCAGAGGTCCCAGTGATGAATGAGAAAAGGCACAGAGACCTGAGACTGTGACTCAGAGTAGTCTCAGACCAAGACTTTTGGTCTCTAGCATAACTAAGGATCAGGATTCACAGGGGAAAATTAGGGCTTTGTTTTTCAAGTGACACACAGAGGGGGAAAAAAATTGTCCTTAGTGACATGGCATGTTTTCTGAAGATGCGTAGACTACAAAGAGAATAACTGTGAGCACCATATTGTGCAAGGACAGCAGCAGGCAGATTGTATGTGAAAATGGTATTAGTAATTACGACATTAACCTATTTGTGACCTGTGTCCCCATCCAGAGAGCTGACCCCTCCTGGTAAGAAAGTTAAAGAAAAGCTGATCTTTGCTGTACTGTTAGAACTTTGCTGACAGAGTAAGCAGGGGTTTCACTGTATTTTTTAAAACTCTGTGTTATAGTTGACAAAGTAAAATATCCTTCTCCAAAGTTCAGACCAGATTGTGTTCAATTCTTGTTCATTAACTGAGTGCTTAAAACAAGAGGTGTGTTCATTCATTGGCCAAAGTGGCATTAGCCTTTTTCCTCCGGACGCCTGGGTAAGCCATGAGATCAGATAGTCTGAGCAGCGTTCGTGTGAGCCAGTTCACTCACACAGATTCCCCATTAAAGCAAGATGA